GGCACACAGAGCAGTAAATTAACAACAGTGCAGGTAGACGAAACATTTTAAACCTAAATATAAAGTGTCAATTTAAATACAACTTGAAGCTTAAACTTAAAATACAAAATATAAAAGAGTAGATATAAGTGGACAGTGATCGGACTAACAGATGTAAACAGATGTAACCAGAACTATGTGCAGTAAACAAGAAATAAATAAATATATACAGAGCTATGTGCAGGTAGGCGAATACTAAATGATAAGTTATTAAGGTGAATAATGGAACAACAGAACTAATATAAACAATATAACTGTGAAGGTAAAAATGAGATAAATAAAGTGACCGTAGTGCAATGATGGATAAGAAACATCAGGAATAAAGAAACCAGAACTGGATGAATACTGATATAGAAAGGATAGAATAAAGTGATGTAGTTTCTGCAGGAGCTGGGGATCGAACCCTCAACCTTTGAACTGGTTGAAAGACAACGATTCTACCAACTGAGCCACAGCCTCCCCACACTGCAGGGCTGAAGTGTTCTCAGCTCTGTTAGGTATTAACAAAACATAATACATGAAGGGACATTACCTTACAGTGGTGTGAAGGTGTGATCCAGGTAAACAGGGCGTCAGCTGTGACCAAGCACAAACAGCTTCTCCCCAACACATCCAACTGGTGAAGCTCCGTTTGACGTCTCCTCCTGCCATCTTAGAACCTGAGTTTGACAAAACAATGAAAGCTGAATGAGTGTAGGCAACATGTCAGGATGATAAATCTTCATATATATATTTATATTTATTTATATATATTTATATTATATATTATATATTATGTGTAGTATTCAGTCATGTTGTGGTAAGAGGAGACGGATGGTAAAGTTTTTAGTGTGACATGTCGCCCCCATGTGGTCGGGATGTGCAGTAACACTCTGATCGACTGTGCGGTGTTTGATTGATCCTGCCTGATCGGCTGTGCGGTGTTTGATTGATCCTGCCTGTCTGTCTGCCCTCACACACTGTGCAGACATGGCGGCGCTCTCGTCCCCGCTGCGAGTCTGTAGAGGAATCCTGAAAGAGCTGCGAGCCATCCACGGAGCAGCTTACAAGCAGGGCCCGATGTACCGCTACGTCATGGACCAGTTCCGGAAGAACCAGGCGAGTTTCCGACGAAGCTAACGTTAGCTAATGTGGCTAACTATCATAACAAACTGCACGGCTAACCTTAGCTAACCTTGAGTAATAATAACGTCTGTATGTCGTCATTCAAGTCACATTAGAGTCCTACATCAGGTCGCTAGTAAACCTGACAGTATAGGAACCCCCCATATGACACTGGAGTATTTTAAAAGCCAGAAATTAATAATTTAAAAGCTTTTGCTCAGCACAAGGTGACTGTTGAGCAGAAGGACATGCTAACATTAGCCAACAGCTAACGTGTTAGCATGTGTTGATGTTCACTCTGACACATCAAAGAAGGATTTATATTATATAAATATTATATTACTTTATTTCTGTTGTCACTTGTTCATAATGAATTGGGATCAGGTTGACAACACTTTCCTTATTTTTACTGAAGATAAGATTTATTTATCCCTCAAAGAGCAAAGACTGCAAACAACAAGTGAACACAGTACAACTTAAATAAACATAAACATTAAGAATGTACTAAAAAATAGATTTAAAAAATAGATTTAAAAAATAAAAAATAGATTTAAAAAATAGATTTAAAAAATAAAAAATAGATTTAAAAAATAGATTAAAAAAATAGATTAAAAAAATAGATTTAAAAAATAAAAAATAGATTAAAAAATAGATTAAAAAACAGATTTAAAAAGTAAAAAATAGATTAAAAAATAGATTTAAAAAATAGATTAAAAAAAAAAACAGATCAGCTATTTGACAAAAGTGTAGTCAGAATATTCAGTGTAACACAGACATGCACTTAAAGTGTAACATGTTGTTGCACAGTGGTTTGATAAACATAATATAACATTAATATAACATTAATATAACATTAATATAACATTAATATAACATTAATATTGCACAGAGTCAGAGTGAATTGTCCAGTTGTGTGTGTGTGTGTTTTGTGATCTACTGGGAGCAGGCTTGGTTAAACAGTCTGACTGCAGCAGGAAGGACCCGAGTCTCCTCGGCAGGTGAAGTCTGCTCTGGCCTTTCTTGTAGAGAGTCCAGCTTATTGTTCAGGTGAACTCCCAGGTACTTATAATATCTATCTCAATGTCCTTTCCCTGGATGTTCACCGGTGTGGGAGAAGTGGGTCTGCGCCTGCAGAAGTCCACCACCAGCTCTTTGGTTTTACCCGTGTTGATCTGGAGCCAGTTCCGTTGGCACCAGTCCACAAAGTCCAGGTTGAGTTCTCTGTACTCGCCCTCGTCTCCATCAGTGACGAGGCTGACAATGGCAGAGTCATCAGAGAACTTCTGCAGGTGACAGTTAGGTGTCTTCAAATACAATCTGTTGTTTGAATGATTATCTTTATTATAGTTTATTAGTCAAACATGTATTGTTGAAGAGATGACACAGGGAGCTGAAGTGCTGTTGTGGGTTTAGTGCCTTGCTCAAGGGTACCTCGGCCGTACTCAGGAGGGGACCTGGTACCTCTTCAGCAACGAGACCAACTTCCATACTTCAGTCCGCACCGGGATTTAAACAGTCGACCCTCCTGTTCCCAACCCAAGTCCATACAGACTGAGCGAGACTGTCGCCCCAGTATGATCAGTGTTAGTACTAATGGTTAAAAAAATAAACACAAAACAGGAGTGTGGGAGAGAAATGAATATATTAAAAATTGCAGACAAACTCCTGCACAATTTGCACTTTTTAGATTGTGGAGTTTGTTGCCAGTTTTGGTATAAAAACTATAAATTACATAGTATTGGTGGTAACAGACCAGTGGTGGACCCGAGGCGGTTTATTCACAGGGCGCCGCTTCAGGCAGCGTTCCCCAACATGTTATAATCTGACACCCAACAGCAGGTAACAGCCTGTCCTCTTTACGTCATGTGATCAAGTGTCAGCGACAATATCAGCTTGATTCTCTTTTATCCTATTGGAGTGTAACTGCCCGCGAGCGAGGCAGCGCCAAGCAGAGTCCCTTTCTATGTTTCTCTCGGTCGCTTGTGTGAAATGAAAATGAACGAGGAAAGAGGGCGCTCTACACCACACTGGAACTCACTTTTCTCCCTCAGCAGAGTGTGTTAGTTTGTTTTTACACAGCGGCGATGACGATGTATTAATAATATCCACATCCGTGTTGAAAGGTTGACCTTTGACCTGTGTCAACACCGGAGAAAAACTATATTCAGCTCAACGTTTGATGTTTATTGACGAGCCTCTGAGTGCAGCGATTTGAGTCAACAGCTCGTCAATACAAAGCACCACACTTCAGTTTGTCAGCCTTCAAAATAAAAGCACCACACTTCAGTTTGTCAGCCTTCAAAATAAAAGCACCACACTTCAGTTTGTCAGCCTTCAAAATAAAAGCACCACCGCAATCAGCTGTTTGTGTTTTGGATGTCTGGGGTCACCAAAGTGGGGTCGACAACCTCTGGATGACAATGTCAGATTACATCGTTTTAAAATGTTTTAATTAGAGAAGAAAGTCCTTATTTATGAACACATATGACCAATCATGCGTTTAGACTGCAGCACTGATCTGTCATCTTCTAACCGTCACATCCAGCTCAGTGTCTGTGGTCATGTTTGTGTCCGTGCCCGCTCAGATGAAGGCTCAGGATCGTCGGGCGTACGGGCTTTAAGCTGCGATTGTTCATGCTTGGGAGAACGTGGCTCACCAGGGTTGTCGGATGCATGTGCAGTCACTGAAGCAAAACAGCTCAGAGCAACTCCTGCCTGTCAGTGTGTGTTTGTCCCCGCTCTGAAACCCCCCCACAGGCTTTTTAATGTATATGTCCGAGTCTATAGGGACGGGGGCCGAGCGCTCGCCGTGCGTGGAGATGCTCCGGTTGATGAGGACGATAAATAAATATGCAGAGTTTCTATAGGACTCCATGTTGTCCACCAGCTGCACCTCCAGGCTTTCTTTATAGACGCTCAGTATTTCTCCTTGATAAGAAACGAGGTGGTCTGAGTTCTAGATTATTTTTAATACCACATGTTGTTAAACATACAGAAGCGGGTCGGTTCAGCTGGATTCTGAGTGATTGTTTCAGGTTTTTTAGTTTCTGGCCTTTATTTAGAGATGGTGGGTAGAGTTGGACACCAGAGAGAGAAGGAGAGAGAGAGAGAGAGAGAGAGAGAAGGGAGAGAGGGAGAGGGAGGACATGCGGGGAAGGAGCCACTGGTCAGATTTGAACCTGGGACGCCCGCTTTGAGGACTGCAGCCTCAGAGAGAGAGAGAGAGAAATTCCAAAATTCTTCTCTTTGCAGGAACCATCAGCATCATCTAATCCTGTCTCCATGTTTCTTTATTTGTCAAACAGATAACAGGAGAGAGGTACTGTCGGGCCCAGCAGGAGGCGCACCATGACGCACACTCGTACCTGTGTTTGCTGGCGTCCACCAGGAGCCAAATGATCCTGCACAACATTTACCACAGCAAAGAAGAGCACAGCATTGAGTCAGCAGCCGGCCTGGTGGGGCTCCGGCTGCCCACCCAGCCCGGAGGGAAAGGCTGGGAGAAGTGAGGAGGAGGAGGAGGGGACACATCTGACTCTCTTTAGAAATGACTTTTGATCCATCTGGCCCAAAACATACACACAAATATTTGAGTGGAGGCTGGCAGACTGAAGCTTTGCTGTCATGGACTGCAGAGAGGGAACTTCATCTGTCGAGGTGTTCCAACAGAGACAACAGAGTGATCCGAGGGTGTTAGAAGCAACTGTGAATCTCTGCTATGATTATCGTCTTCACTGTAAATGTATTTTACCTCTTCAATGCTCCCACTCCTGCAGGTACTCGTTTCCTTTTGAGTGTGAGTTCATCTTGATCCTTTTGTCTGATTAAAATCTGAGTCACTGTTGGACTTTTTGAGTTTTTTTTAAAGAACATGAACATCCTGAGTGTTTGAATTGAACTTGTCAGAGGTGTAAGAGCTCGTCTGAAATTGATACGTCATGATGCCATCGATCATCAAATTAACAGAGAATATATCGTTTTATAACATGGTGTGACAAAGTATGGAACATTTTGGCAACCTTACTTTGTAGTGACATCACTCAGCATCATGATGTGTGTGTTGTTTGTCCCGTTAGCTTCACACACACCGCCTCACACACCGCTTTGTCCCCGGCCCAGCTGGTTGTTAAAAGTTCTAACCTCGATCTCGTTTTTTTGCCTCTTTGTCTCCCACTTTTAATAACACCTGCTACTAAACAACAAAGCCTCTGCTGTTTTATTCCTCTCTCTTTTAAAAAAAAACAAAGTGAGGCAGCTGAGGCCGCCCGCAGAGGGACACGCAGGCCCGACTGTTGTGTGTGTGTGTGTGTGTTGTGTGTGTGTGGTGTGCGCGCGCGTGTGCGCACCAATGGCAGACACTGACATTATGTAACGAGAAGAGAGGAAAAGTCCCCAAAAAAATCACAAGAGTGCATGTCACACACACACACACACACACACACACACACAGCAGCTGCATGAGCCTTCATAGTGATATAATGATGTAAACTTTCTGACACATTCATTCAGAGTGATATGTTAAAGTGTTCTGCAGCAGCCGCAGCCTGGACAGACTCATGTTTCCTCTTTCCCTTGGTGTGAAGCTCTCTAACACGGTACATCTGCTCCTCTGGCCCCCGCGTTATCAGCCCCACTTCTTCATCAAGCCCCCCCCACACACACACACACACACACACACACACACACACTTCCCTTTACTCCCCTCTGCTGACTAACGTTGCCCTCAGAATGAATTTAAATAGACTTACCCCAAAGCAAACAACTCACAGTGACACAGGGAGTAAGACGTGCACCCATGCAGCTGCCCCAGACCAACACACACACACACACACACACACACACACACTCAGCCCAATGCAAACTGACAAACCAACGGCTTGTGTCAAAATGTGTAGTGCACAGAGCGCAGGATGTAAATGTGCTCCTCCAGTCCCTGCTGTTTCGAGCTGACAAACACAATGAGAGGGGAAGGTTACTCTGTGTCAGGGGTCACATGGAGGAGCTGATCCTCTGGTCACTCCCAACTCCATATATATTTAATGTCAGAGCAAACCCGAACTCGTGGGGGGGGGGTAATAAACCGTGCAGAATCAGCCTCACTTTATGTGGAGTTAAAAAATGTGTTTGAGTGAAAGGTGGTGACGTAAGTCCAGCTGCTGAGAGGAGGAGGAGACACTTCAGGCGTCAGAGTGGAGGTTGATCTGTTCATCCTTTTGGTTCAGCAAAAGGGGGGGAAGAGTCGGAAGCACCTCCAACTTCTGTCTCCGCGAGAGATCTGCTGTGTGGAGCTGGAACAAGGCGGCGCGTAATTTACGCGTGGGAGCGTTCAGGATCGTTACGCAGCAGCGAGGTTTCACAAAGAGACGACAACACGAGAGAGAGCTGTTTCAAGAGAGAGAGAGAAAGTTGTTTGCAGAAAGCACATACAGAAGGAAGCAGGAGGACGAAGAAGAAGAAGAAGAAGCCCAAAAGGAGCGGAGAGAGAGAACAGGTGACCCGGCAGAAGCGACATGTTTGGCATGATCAAGAATTCGCTCTTCGGAGACACCGAGGAGACCGAGTACAAAGTGCTCAGCAGTGAGACAAAGGTAAGCATTTTTTGATAGATTTGAATCCCTGCACATTTTCTTCCTTTTGAGCCTTTCGTGTCGGGCTCTTTACGCGCGGAGCTGTGAAGCTGTGAAGGTGTGAAGGTGTTCGGTTTCCTCTAATGTTTGCATGAATATTTTAACCCCGTGCTTAACGCTCACTGGGTTGTATTGTGACAATATTGTTTTAAAGGCTAGTGTTTGCCCCCCTGTAACCCTGACTGACAGCCCAGCAGGTAATTACCCCTGACCTATAAGGACTCGTGCAGAGTCTCAGTGTGGGGCCGAGGGGCCAATCAGCCAGCGGTCCTCTGCCAATCAGCGAGCAGACATGATGAAAGATGGAGAGCTCTGTTAAACAACACAACCGTTTCTAAAACAGGGCTCAAATGTCAGAAAACAAATTTCCTGACCTTCTGTTGTGCGCAGAGCATTTTTTTTTTTATCATCATGACATTGTTGGTGAAGTGTGTGAGAGGATGCAGGTCAGTTTGCCTGGAAGGGTTACATGTGCACTCTGATACAGGGAGCATCAGTGACGTCACAGGGAAGGAAGGACATGACCTTTTCATGTAGTCACCCCCCCATCCTTTTCCACTAATTATGTTTATACATGAATGTGTTTGCGCGTGTTGAACGCGTGCAGTGGACTCAGTGATGTGTGTGTTTAGAACTGGAGCTCTGACAAACCCCCCCCATCGGCTCCACTATCAACGGGCACGCTGCAATGTGATGTCACATTTGGCACAAGTGGCTTTTTGTGTGTTAATCCTTGAACAGCAGCCCCCCTTTGACAGGAAACACAAAGATAGACAGACCGGGACAGTGAGGACTTCCAGAATCAAATGAGCCAAAGTGACACAGTTATACAAAAAGTTATCAGAACGTTTCGACTCCGTCAATAAGAGGTGTTTTATGATTGTTTTTCTGATCAACAAGATAAAAAATGACACCTGTTTCATAGGACAGGTGCTCATGGGAGGGGGTTGAATTCATCAAAAATACAAACAAACTCCTGCACAGAAACATCTGCAATGTTCTTGTGCAGGAGTTTGCCTGCAATTTTTGATCATTGAAAACAAGAAATGAGCCACTATTTGGTGTCTAGGACTTCTACTTTTGTCGCCATGGTTACAAACAGGTATCACTATCAGATGCCTTTAATAGTGTCAGACCTCAGTTTAAAATTCTGGTACTGTGACAACCCTAAAACACACTGACACTCTAACATCTAATGTCTGGGTCCAACATTCAAACGAGGCTCGCTTAAACCAGAAATGTGTGCAAAAAAAAAAAGAAGAGTTTTGATGATTTAACTCAGAACATTTAAATGACCAGCAGGTTACCCCGTGCACAGCCAGCCGATGTCCTCAGGTGTTGGACGGTTGCAGGAACATACACAATGAAAAAGCTTCCTCAGGTCTGATCAGAGTGAATACACAATGAGGTGACAGTAAAGTCGTTCTCAGTGAGTCACAGTTTATTTATGTACTCACATTTCAACGTTTTAAAGAAGCATTTCTCTGCAGAATTCGTAAAGAAAAGGTTTTTGCATTTAAAGCGATTAGAAAATACGGAAGCCTTAAGAGTACACTTTATTTCACTCAGTATTGAGAGTATGCTTCAGTTGTTGTTTTTTCAAGAACTCTTGATAGTTGTCTCAGATTTTCCCGCAGTAACAAGAACATTTCAGTTGTTTTCTTGAGGTCTTGAGAAAACTTGTGAAAACCAGCGTCATCGTCCTGAAATAAAAGGATTAATTACACAAGATCTCAAGAAAAATGATCCGCTATCACCTGAAGACAGAGTGAAATCAAATATCCACACATGATGCATGATGTCACCTTCCTGTTCATTAAACTGTCTTTAGCAGTCGGGGCTCCGGGTTCGGCAAATCTCAGGTGTGACTGACACCTCTGAATATCAGGTTCTGAAATCAGAGCTCGCCACCCGATCCCTCGGACACCTTACACTGTTAATTAAAAGTGACGCACAATACAGAGTGGTTACCGAACAGTACACACAAACACACACACACACACACACACACACACACACAGAGCAACTGTGGGGTTTATCTGAAAGCAGAAAGTTTATCTTGAAATTAAACTGTAATTTAACAGTCAGAGTGTCGACAATGCCTCCTGTGTGCTGAGTAATTATCAGTGTGTATGCTGCTAAACACACACACACACACACACACACACACACACACACACACACACACACACACACACACACTCCACAGACAAATTAATCACCCTACTTAACTGCAGTCAGGGCAGGTTGTGCTTCTTGGTTTGTCACCAGCACTCGATGTAAATAATAGTCCCACTGACAGACCTTCAGTAATTACAGTGCAACGGCGCCCGCTCCTGTCACGAGCTCGAGCACCGTAATAATAATGATAAAAATAATAACAGGAAGTGTGTTTAGAAGAAGAATAGATGGATGTAACCATTCAGAACTCAAATAGAGGAATTTAAAGACATCTACATGTTAGAAAAAGATAAACAATAGGGATGTCACGATACCAGAATTTAACTTTGATTAATAACAAGTAAGAATCACCATGATGACCAACAACTGCAGGCAAACTGCTGCTGATTGTCTACTAGCTTAAAGGTGACATATTCTCCTCTTCTTCAGTGTAAATAAGTCTCAGAGCTCCTCAAAACATGTGTGTGAAGTTTCTTGTTCTAAATCCACTCTGATCCTGTATTTGATCATGTCTATAAACCCCTCTATTTCAGCCCTGCTCAGAACAGGCTGTTTCTGTGTCTGTACCTTTAAATATGTAAATGAGCTGTGTCTGACCACGCCCCCTCCCTGGAAGGGCTTGGGTGTACTCGGTCTTTCTCGCTCCATGTCCTATTGTTTACGGTGAGAAGACAGACTCAGAGGGCAGAACAAACACCTAGCTGTGGGAGTGTCACCCACCTGGGGGAAGGGCTACTGCCCTTTGTGATGTCATGAAGGGAACATCTCCAAACGGCCTGTTTGAGCACACATTTTCTGAAAAGTGGAGCAGGCAGAAGATGGAGAGGATGGACTTCTCTCATCATTGGGGGGTTTGTAGACGGACTAGAGACACATATTAAAGGAACATGGAGAGGTGGATTTATCAGAATATGTGACCTTTAATACGGAGCTCAGATTTAATCCTCCAAGCGAGCGGCCAGGTTCGAGTCTAACCTGTGGCTCCTGTCTCACATGTGGTTCCCCGCTCTTTCTGTCCACGGTCCTGTCTCTCCAGTAAAGGCAAAAACATGTGGGTCCAGTGCTTTAAACTAATACACACTGAGCTGTATACTAGAAAATATACAGAACGGGGCGCTGATGGCCTAGCGGTAAGGTGGCGCCCCGTGTGCGGAAGCTGTAGTCCTCAGATCTGACCTGTGGCTCTCCCCACTCTCTCTCTCCTGATGTCCTACTCCATGCACTGTGCTATCCAATAAAAAGGCAAAAGCCCCCAAAAATAAATCTTAAAATAAAATAAAAATCTGAGTAATAAGTCGATGTTTTTACGACCTGCATCATTTTCTCAGGTGAGCAGATTCCTTCATAACACCTTTATGTTGTTGCTCTGCAGCACAGCTGACTGATGTGCCCCACATTAGCCCCCCGTTATCATAGTTAATGCAAAACTGTTGCATCATATTCACGCTGTGTGTTCAGGGGGCGGGGGCGAGATGTGTGTGTGTGTGTGTGTGTGTGTGTGTGTGTGTGTGTGTGTGTGTGTGTGTGTGTGTGTGTGTGTGTGTGTGTGTGTGTGTGTGTGTGTGTGTGTGTGTGTGTGTGTGTGTGTGTGTGTGTGTGTTGTTATGTAAGAGCGCACATATCTGGCCCATTATTCTCTGTAGGCTGACTGCACACTGCAGCAGCGCAGAAGAAGAAATTAAATCACATCAGTGTAAATATGCTTCATCTGCATCTTATTATTTGGCAGCCCACATCAGTTTCACACACACACACACACACACACACACACACACACACACACACACACTGAACCCCTCCAAGTGTAAACCCCGCCGGGTCAGAGCTGTCGCCCGCTGGGAGCAGAAAGTCGACATCAGTGTGTGAGAGGTGAATCATATCTGAGCTCAACATCTCTGCTCCTCGGGACGAGAAAAAACAGTTTGTGTGTGTGTGTGTGTGTGTGTGTGTGTGTGTGTGTGTGTGTGTGTGTGTGCGTGCGTGCGTGCATGCGTGCGTGCGTGTGCGTGTGTGTGTGTGCGTGCATAAAAACAATGTCTGCATTTGTCCCCCCACCCCACCCTACCCTCAGGACGGGGTCAGCTTCGAGGTGCGGAGGTACGATGCTGCCAAATACGCCACGGTCTCCTCTGAGGGGAGAACCTTCGACCAGGTGTCGGGCGAACTGGTGAGGAAGCTGCTCATGTACATCGGAGGGAGCAACGAACAAGGTGAGCCAATCAGGAGACAGAGAAATATAACTCATGTGATAATATCGTTTTTTTGGGGGGGTTTTTTAAAAGATTTTTTGGGGGCTTTTCGTGCCTTTAATGCAGAGAGAGGACAGTGGATAGAGTCAGAAACCAGAGAGAGAGAGGACAGTGGATAGAGTCAGAAACCAGAGAGAGAGAGGACAGTGGATAGAGTCTGAAACCAGGGAGAGAGAGGACAGTGGATAGAGTCAGAAACCAGAGAGAGAGAGGACAGTGGATAGAGTCTGAAACCAGAGAGAGAGAGGACAGTGGATAGAGTCAGAAACCAGAGAGAGAGAGGACAGTGGATAGAGTCTGAAACCAGAGAGAGAGAGGACAGTGGATAGAGTCAGAAACCAGAGAGAGAGAGGACAGTGGATAGAGTCTGAAACCAGAGAGAGAGAGAGGACAGTGGATAGAGTCTGAAACCAGGAGAGAGAGGACAGTGGATAGAGTCAGAAACCAGAGAGAGAGAGGACAGTGGATAGAGTCAGAAACCAGAGAGAGAGAGAGGACAGTGGATAGAGTCAGAAACCAGAGAGAGAGAGGACAGTGGATAGAGTCAGAAACCAGAGAGAGAGAGGACAGTGGATAGAGTCTGAAACCAGAGAGAGAGAGGACAGTGGATAGAGTCAGAAACCAGAGAGAGAGAGGACAGTGGATAGAGTCAGAAACCAGAGAGAGAGAGGACAGTGGATAGAGTCTGAAACCAGAGAGAGAGAGGACAGTGGATAGAGTCTGAAACCAGAGAGAGAGAGAGGACAGTGGATAGAGTCAGAAACCAGAGAGAGAGAGGACAGTGGATAGAGTCTGAAACCAGAGAGAGAGAGGACAGTGGATAGAGTCAGAAACCAGAGAGAGAGAGGACAGTGGATAGAGTCAGAAACCAGAGAGAGAGAGGACAGTGGATAGAGTCAGAAACCAGAGAGAGAGAGGACAGTGGATACTTAGACTTACTGTTGGGCTGACGAGTAGATGGAGATCAGGTGTGCAGGTCTGAGCAGGTGAACTGAATGAGAACCAATCAGGAGGAAGTAAGAGCGTGTCCAGAGAGAGTGGGCCCAAAATCAGACTTTAAATCATCCAGTGTGCAGCGAGCCTCACCCATCAGGTGTGACACCTCTCACTGTTAGGCAGTTCCATGTCTTGGTCCTGGTCTAGTCTCGGTCTTGCCCTGCCTTGGTCTTGACTTGGTCTTGATCCCTAAATGTCTTGGTCTCGGAGCACTCTGGTCTCAGTTAGTCTGGTCTTGACTACACCACTAGGCCATCGGGGCTCACATTTCCTGTTGTTTGTGCAGGAACAGAGAACCAAGCGGTCCAGCTGGCCCGGCCCGAGCCGTGATCCAGTTAACGTAAACGCTCTGAAGCTGTAGAGCATCAACAGAATCCTCATGAAACTCATCTTTAGTCTGAATGTTGATGTGCAGGTCGTCTGAGGTCGTGTGTCTCCAGTTTTCTCTGGGAAAAAAAAAACACGACCTGAGGCGACTGTAAGTTCAATCTGCCATGTGAGCCTCCGTGCAGAACCATCGTTTAGTTTCTATTTTTAAAGGAGCAACATTGAAGCTCCGCCTCTCAGATGCAGGTTAATATTAACATCTTTTCATGTCGTCTTCTGCAGGTGAGGCCATGGGCACGGCCGCTCCCATCATCATCACCGTGTACCCCCGCAACGACGGCGTTCTGTCTCGCCGCCTGATGGTCGGCATCCGCATACCCTCCACCTACCAGCAGGGCCCCCCGACCCCCACCGACACCGCCATCAGGATCGAGGAGCGGCCCGGCATGACCGTATACGCCCTGTAGGTTTCCCTCTGAAGCGTTTCAGGTTGTGCGTTTCCATGGGGAGGAGGAGTGGCGTTTAGAGAGCGTTTCATGGCGTGGTGACACTTGGTTTGTTTGTTATTATTTTGCTGACCTGAATGCAAAAGCAGCTTTTTCTATTTTTGGATGTTATTCTGTTCGGTCTCCTGGGGGCGCGTGGCGGTCAAGCGGCTCCTCAGGCGGGTTCGCTCGACCTCTTTGTTTAAATATCAGCGTGCACGTGTTTCCTGTGGCTCTCGGGTTCACGTTAGCGAGACAGAATGTGCAGCGATGCGTCCTCTCTCTTTTTTAAACAAACGCTTTCATCATCAGACTGAATTCAGCTTTTGTCTGTTTTTTTGGTTCTCAGGCAGTTCGGAGGCTTCGCCGGAGAGAGCGAGTACCGAGCGGAGGCGTTACGCTTGACACGCACGCTGGGCGAGACGGCGCCCTTCCAGCGCAAACAGTACTTCTGCTGCAGCTACGACCCGCCGCTCAAGCCTTACGGACGCCGCAACGAGGTGTGGTTTCTACAGGAGGAGCCGTAGGAGGCGTCCAATCAGATCTCATCATGAAAACCTTTCACCTGAACGACCCCCCCTCACTACTCCGACAGTCCTTTAGCTCTAACAGCAATATGGTGAGGTACAGATTACCCATGATGCCTTTGCCCATCTGATCACCAGGGCCCAGTTGTTTAAAAGAAGTTTAATCTGGATCAGCTAATCCAGTTCTCTTTGTCCCCCTTTTTATCAAAGACGAGCTGGATCAGATCACAGACTTTTCAAGATTACCAAATCCAGGGCCCGGTTTGAAGAAACCCAAACACGGCCGTTTTGGACGCCCCTCGGTTTGTCAGATATGAGAGCAGTTATCAGGTCAACAGGTGTTGCAGCGATGGAAGCGGTCAAGAGAAGTGGTTCAGATAGAAGTGATTGTACCCGACCTAAAAAGCCTCTGCATGTTTCTAATAAGCTCCACGAGCAGAAACGTGCTCAAACTAGGATCAATATTGGAGATGCTTTTGAAAAATGGAGAGAGGTTAGAACACAGAAAGGTTTACAGACCCATGCAGTGTGGATTTTGGCGCCCCCTGTGGACAAAGTCTTTAGTGTGAACTCAACAGGATTTGGTAAATCTTGAAAACTCTGTACGTGGATCAGGAGGGATTTTATCCAGTTTTTCTTTGAACAAACAGGGTGAACGTGAGCTGGATTACCTGATCCTGCGTAGTAAATAAGTGGATTACTGGATCTGGATTTTGTTTTTTTAAGATTAAACTTTTTAAACACCCCGGGCCCCGCTCGTCACATTCAAACAGTAGCTCCTCTGAGTGCAGCAGCAGCAGCAGCATCATCCAAGCAGAGCAAAGAGATCCTCAGTAACTCAGCGAGTCATCAATCATCTGCAACAAGGTCGTTAAAGACGAGAGATAAATTTGACTGGATCAACAGTGAAGACCAACAGGAGTCGAGCCATAAAGTAGAGACTCCTCTTTGTCGATGAGAAGGTGGAGCGCCGTGCTTTGAGACGATCTCGCTTTCAATGTCGTGACCTTTGTGTCTACACGTCGTCGATGTGTGTGTGTGTGTGTGTGTGTGTCGTGACCGTTTCCTGTGTTAGTGCATGATAATAAAAACACAGACTGTGGAGGCAGCTTCTTGTACAGTGTGACTTTGTGTTGAATTCAGCTTTGATAGTGTTTCATAACATAATAAATATATGATTCAGAAACACTGTGAGTCACTGTGGCCGTCTGCTGTTTTTCATTCTGACCGGACGAGTCCTGTTATGTAAAATAAAAACCAGAGGAACCTTCAGAGGGGGGGGAAGTCAATTTAATGACTTCCTGTTCACGGTAAAAATGATCAGCACAATTAGTCATCACATTTAATCTAAACTATTAGAAAATATCAGTTTGAAATCTTTCCGTTTTCGCTTCTAAACAAGCAGCGACCTCCGGCTTTAAAAAGTCGATGCTGACAATTTAAAAGAAAAAGAAAATTAAAAATGTAACTCAAATAAATGTGTCTTAACTCCTAAGTATTTTTCATATATCTCCCAATGTGGTCAAACATTTTAAATCTAGATTTGAATTTGTAAGTTTTGTTCATCAAAATAAATAAAGTCGATTCTGAAATGTAAAATCCTGCAGTTCCTTGAGTGTCCACTAGAGACTGGCTGCAGAAGAACAGGAAGTCACATACACAGATCCCTTATTTTGGTACATTCCCAACTTTTGACGGTGGAAACGCCAATCAATGGGTACAGAACCAAACTGAACCGAACCGCTGGGTGGAAACGGGTCTTCAGTCTCAAATATTTAAAATACCAAAAATGTCAAAGACAAAAAAAAGGTTCAACGAAGAAACTCATTTATTCGGTTTTTAATTGAAAGACAAAATTCACAAAAGAGGAATCAGAACTGAAATAGAGAAAATTAAAAATACAGACATTTGATTAAAACGTCAACCCAAACTTGAAACAAGCCGACTCGTCCTTCAGAACATTTGAACTGACGCACACACAGAGGAGCGACGCAGCGACGCAGCTTACACTCAGGCTGTCAACATGTCAAACATTTCAACTTCCACATCCAAGGAGAAAAACCACGCACACCACTCCCTCTCTAACGTCTCGCCCCCTCCTAACCCCGGCTGAGTCTGCTCTCTTCTGGCGGGGGTTCGGACGGTCCGAGACATTTTGAGTTGGTGATGGCGAGCGGGAGTTGTGTGCGGGATTTCTTCTTCTCGATGGGATAGTTTGATGTCCTTACGCTCCTACTTCATGAGATATTTGGATGTGCAAACTTCCATTGGATTCCAGTTACACAAAAAAAAAAAAAAAAAACACCCAACATTCATTTGGTAATTTCTCTCGTTCTTGAGTCAGCAAAAGTTGCAGGAGAACTTCTTCAGTCTGAATTTGGAGGCGGGGCTTCCGCTCAGCGATCTGAAGACTTTGGAATGGAAAAGTATCGTAACATGTTGACAGCCTCGAGTCACTCGTCCAGTCGCCGCCCTCCCGTCTGCTCCAACCAGGAATAAACTTTTTTTGGGGGGGGGGGGGGGGGGGGGGCTCCTGAAACCTCACACTGGAGTAATTATCGACGAGTGGTGGTCTGGTTACAGCCCAGCTTTGCATACATGAATACAAGAGGAGAGGACAAGGTCGACCTCCGCCCTTTAACCTTCTGGGGGGGGGAGGAACTATTGCACACACCGATTTGTTATCGAAGACGTCTTTCAGATCCTCTTTCTAAAAACTCTTTCTCTTTAAATTATTAAAGAAACGCACGCTAAGAATGAAAAGAAGGGATGTGTTATAACATCGTGTTGGTCAAACATGAGGTTTCTGTAGTCTAAGAATCAGTCGGCTATATTCCTATTCAAACTCAGAAGATGGAAAAGAAACAATCAAAGCAAACTGAAAGAACTGCAGAAATACTGTCGAGATATTCTCCGAAAGTTCTGTCGCTAAATCTCTTAGAAAATACATTCCCCATAATGCCTCCTGCTCTCAGACCCTCAAAGTGTCCTCGCCCTCCTGCAAGAAATCCCACAGATTGAAATGAAAGCAACAACTGAAGGAGGGTTTATATGATCGACTGCACGAGCTCGAGTGAAAGAGGAGAAGAGTGTTTGAAGGATTTGATCGCCCCGGTGTCCAGAATACTCTTTTTAATATTTGTGAATCATCTTTCTGTGAGCTTCTTCAGTCTGAATCCTTCAGTCAACGTTATGTCTTTCTTCAGGATAAATTTAAGAGACCGGGGAGGGGGGGGGGGGGAGAGAGAGAGAGAGAGAGAGAGAGAGAGGGAGAGAGAGAGAGTGTTACTGAAGTGGGCGAGTCGGAGCCTCAGTTGTTCTTCTTCTCAGGAGAGTCTGGAAAAGGAGCGTATGGTGGAGGCCGCTCCTGAGTGGGAACAAAGAAAAACAATCATCAGGTCACTTCCTGTATACATCGATGATACATCATTCTCCTGTTTTTAAAGATCGATTTGGTGTTCTTTGGCGCCCACTGAAGCTCTCTGGCTGCAACTGCACATCATCAGACACACATGGTGCTGTTAACTCCTCCCCCTTTTAGACAGCATGGACTGACAAGGTTCAGTAATATTTCCCAGTCAGCGCTGCATAAATAGAATAAAACGCAACATACAGACTCCTGATCGTATGTTCCATCGCTTTAAGTCAAAACAGGAAGAACAACAAATCATCCTCAGAAAGACAAATCTGCACGTTTTTCTATTTACCAAACGGGTACTGACATCATGTCATTTTTACTCGATTAATATCTAAGATTTAAAATCTGTTATCGTGTCGACCCTGCTCCATAGGCTGGGTCGGGGGGGGGGGGGGACAAAAAGCACAGCAGTGTACCGTGGGCATGTAGACGTTGTGAGGATTGTTTGGGTTGTAGTACGCACTGCCTGCTGCTTCAGCCGCCTTGGAGTTACCTGAAAGAGAGAGAGAGAGAGAGAGAGAGAGAGACACAGAGAGAGAGAGAGAGAGAGAGAGACACAGAGAGAGAGAGAGAGAGAGAGAGAGAGAGAAGAGAGAGAGAGACAGAGACAGAGATGAATGATCAACACATTTAGAAACAGATGCTGCAGCTCCTAAAATTGTAAAGAGTAGTGATGCACGGAGCTCGCTGTCAGTCAAACCAAACACAACATCTGACGGCTCCGGGAATCCAACAGAGAGAGAGAGAGAGAGAGAGAAATGTCCCGGCGCACCCCGAGGACGCACGGAGGAGAACGTCCTCCTTCGGCTTCTCTTCAAACTGAGATGTGCCAAAGTGACAGTTCAGCTCCTCCGTGCACCGAGCTCACCCCGAGTGCAGAGCGAGACGATGAAGAACCCACAAGGTGATAGAAACGAGAATATGAGCGGAGAGCGCGGGGGGGATTTGTTTATCCTTTGTAATTTTGATGTTTAGCCGATGAGACATCAGCACCCCCTTTTTTTGGTTGCATGATTGAAAGTGACTCACTTTGAGGCAGATGGATCAGATCTGACGTGTGCGGTGACACAGAGCGTGCACACGGGGAGGAGAAACTAAAGAGAGAGAGAGAGAGAGAGAGACAGACCTGGAGGTGGTGGGGGGGCTGTGGCTGCCCAGCTCTGAGGGGGTGCAGCCCAATTTTGGGGCGGTCCAGGGTATGGGGGAGGAGGGGCCATGTAGTCAAAACCAGCTGGATACATCCCTGCAGCAAAGAGAAAAAATACAGATTCAGGTTTTTTCAAACACAAAAAAACAGATAAATTATCACCTTCAAGAGACGTTTTCACGCTGAAAGTTTATCACAGCCTGCCCCTGAAATCATCCTGAGTTGTTATTCACACATTTCCCTCACAGCGAGGAGAGGAGAGGAGAGGAGAGGGGAAGGGAGGAGAGGAGAGGAGGGGAGAGACACAGGAGAGAGGTTTTGGTTTTCAAAATACCTTTTATTTTACCACTACCAGGAGAAAATTATAACACTGTCACATCATCACTCAGATCAAGAGAAGGAAATAAATAAATAAATAAAAAATAAAACATAAAACAAAACAAGTGCAACAAAAATCACAACATCAACAAAAACAACATTTACTGCATCAAAAATGAATAATCAGCTCTCCATCCCCACCCACAGAGCACAAAGCTTCTTCCACAGCCCATACACTATTAAAGTCTTGCACATTGTCCATCATTTGATAATAGGCAAATTCTACCTTTAGTCTGGCCTTCAAAAGTCCCTCCAGAACCAGCACCGGTTCCACACAGCCAGTACCCTGAGCTCGGTTCTTGCGTGTAAGCCAAATGGCCAACTTAGCCGAGCCAGATAAAAAGTTCATCAGTGTATGTACAGTCTTTTTCTTTGCAGAATACTTTGGCCCAAAAACAAAACACTGCATAAGAGAAAT